CCGCAGACATTTTAGCAGAAGGCTGGATTTTCTTTTGAGTTATGATTAGAATCTGTGGCTTTGGTACTTTGTGTGTTTTTGTTTGATAGTTGGTTTAGTTGTTTTATTTATTTATTTGTTTGTTTGGTTTGGTTTGGTTTTAGTTTTTCGAGACAGGGTTTCTCTGTGTAGTTTTGATGCCTGTTCTGGATCTCGCTCTATAGCCCAGGCTGGCCTTGAACTCACAGAGATCCACCTGGCTCTGCCTCCCGAGTGCTGGGATTAAAGACATGCACCACCACTGCCCAGCTTATTTTATTTTTTTAGATTAGGTTTTCTATATAGCCCAGGCTGGCCTCTAATTCATGATACTCCTGTGTCAGAGTGTGTAGGTGTTATAGGGGTGTGCCACCGAACCTCACTTGTTTTCTGAAGCTTTGTTCTTTCCTTCCTTCCTTCTTTGGGGATGTGGTTGGGAGGGTCTCTTCTAACCCAGGCTGTTCTCAACTCCTGGAGTGATAGAAGAATCCTGAGCCCTGGCACTCTGACTGGACTTACTATTTAAAAAGATAAAAGAAAGCAGAGAGGGAGGGAGGAGGGAGGGAGAGGGATGGTGTTGGGGAGGATGAGGATGAGAGAACACCCACTGGAGAGGTATTGATACTCTCAAACTCCATCATGAGTGTGCTTTTTGGTTTGGGGTGTTTTTTTTGGTTGTTTTTTTGTTTTGTTTTGTTTTTTGTTTTGCTTTTATGAGACAGGGTCTCAGTGTAGCCCAGGCTGGCCTAGAATTCATGATATAGCCCACACTAGTCCTGACCGGCCATACTCTCTCTGCTTTAGCGTCCCAAGTGCTGGGTGGGATTAAAGGCAGCCATGGCTAGCTATGACTAGTCATGTTATCTGCTTCTTCAGGAATGTGCTCTGTTAGCTTGTGCATTGTTGTTAATAATAATAATAATAATAATAATAATAATAATAATAATATAGAAGTTATTAGGATAATATTTGCTATGTTGCCCAGGCTGGTCTTGAACTCATAAACTGAAGCAATCTTCTAACCTCTGGCTTCTGGGTAGCTGGGATTACAGCATGCAGCACCATCACAGCAGCTGGCACAGGGTGGAAGTCTTTTTCTCTGAGGAATGAGAAGAATGGCCGTAAGAACAGGCCAGGAGATGTGGTGAGAACTGATGTGTTGAGATTCTCTAGTTCTTAAGGGAGGCTAATTCCTATAAGGAGGCGGTGTCTCCTTCTCCCTCTAATCCTAAAAGACTTAGTTAAAACAACAGAGAGCGCACGCCTTTAATCCCAGCACTCGGGAGGCAGAGGCATGCGGATCTCTGTGAGTTCAATGCCAGCCTGGTCTACAGAGTGAGATCCAGGAAAGGCACAAAGCTACACAGAAAACCCTGTCTCAAAAAAATCAAAAAACAACAGAGAGCTCAGGGTGGAGATCGGGGCTAGAGGACTGCCTAACATGTGCAAGGCCCTGGGTTTAAGCCCCAGTATTTCACATGTGCATGCACACTCAAAAAGATCATTCTCTAATTTCCTTGGCCAATACAGTGGCTTACACCTCCAATACCACACTCTGGAAGATGAAATGGGGTGATTCCATACTCACGGCCAGCCTGGGCTACATAGTAAGTCCCTCTGTGTATTTATTTATTTATTTATTTATTTATTTATTTATTTATTGGTACTGAGGACAAAACCAAGGGCCTAGTACATGCTAGGCTTTATACATACAGGCTTTATACTAAGTCATATCCTAAAGCTTTTCTTTTTTCTTTTCTTTTCTTTTTGTTTTGAGACAAGGTTGTCTCTAAATACCCAGGCTAACTTAGATAGACATTGAACTTGTGATCCTCTTGCCTGGGCCCCTCTAGTAACTGAGGTTACGTGTTGTAGAATATTATTTTAAGATGCCATACATTTGTTTATGCTGTGGAATATTTGTTTAATGATGCAAAGATGTGTCGCATTCTTTCATGTTACATTTGTTTAATTCTGTGAAGCTGTGTTGCTTTGCCTGTCTAAAACACCTGATGGGTCTAATAAAGAGCTGAACGACCAATAGTGAGGCAGGAGAAAGGCCAGATGGGGCTGGCAGGCAGAGAGAATAAATAGAAGGAGAAAGAGAAAAAAGATCTAGGAGGATTCAAGGGGCCAGCCACCCAGCTACACAGCCAGTCATGGAATAAGAAGTAAAGAAAGGAATACAGAAATAGCAAAAGGTAGAAGCCCAGAGTCAAAAGATAGATGAGATAATTTAAGTTAACAAAAGTTGGCTAGAAATAAGCCAAGCTATGAACGTAGTCAGAAGGTTTCTCTGCCCCACCTGGTCCTGCAGCTGCTCAGACTCAAAAACATACAGATGCTTTTTTTAATTATGAACTGGATGGCCTATGGCTCTAGCTTCTCGCTAGTTAGCTCCTATAACTTAACCCATTTCTATTTATCTATAAGTTGCCACATGGCCGTGGCTTATCCATACTTTCACATCTTGCTTCTCCTGGCGGTGGCTCGTGTCTCTCTCTGCCTCTGCCTTTCTTCTTCCTATCTCACTCTTTTGGATTTCCTGCCTGGCTATAACCTGACTCGCCATAGGCCAGAGCATCTTCTTTTCTTTTCTTCTTCTTCTTTTTTTTTTTTAAAGAGATTTATTTATTTATTCTGTTTACAGTGTTCGCTTGCATGTGTCCCTTCAGGCCAGAAGAGGGCACCAGATCTCATTACAGATGGTTGTGAGCCACCATGTGGTTGCTGAGAATTGAACTCAGGACCTCTGGAAGAACAGCCAGTGCTCTTAACCTGTGAGCCATCTCTCCAGCCCCCAGAGCATCTTCTTTATTAACCAATCACAGCAACACATATTCACAACATACAGAAAGACATCCCACAGCACTTCCCCTTCTCTGTCTAATCAAAAAAGGACGGTTCTGTCTTTAACATAGTAAAATTACATATAATAGAACATTTATCAAGCAAGAATTACAGTTACAATATCTACTCTATTTGTATTTGGCAAAATTAAAGAAAATATTCTATCTATCCTATATTTGTTAGTCTAAGGTCTCATATCTAATTTATCTTTTATCATAACCAATAAGACTCCCCAGATTTATTTGGGAGCTGGGTAGTAGAACCCCAAAATGAGCAAAAGTGCCAAAGAGCAAAAACCACCAACTACAGTTACAGGCTTGCACTGACAGACACAGTGAGACCCCGTCTCCAAATGAACACACATGTGCATAAACCACAAGGGCCTAAGGGTTCTCCTAAAATTCCTTCACACAGCATGGTTTGTTGGTATAATTATGGAGGTGGATTTATATAGACTAGTAAGTCCACTAATTAGTGATTATAGCAAGTACTTAGATATCACTATTGTGAGCAGGGACAGTCTGAACATTTAATAAATACTGGTTCATCAACTCATTTAATTCTTATAACAACCCCACATGGGGGGCTTATTTTGATCCCCTTACAGAGAAGGAAACCCAGACAGAAAGTTGCAAAGTTGTGATTTGACTCAAGTCAGCATCTGATTTGAGGCAGAGCGTGTTCCCCAAAAGCAGGTATGAGTTGTTTGATCTTTGAATTCCCAGCATCTGGAATAATGCCGATTCATAACAATCAACCAGCAACCATTCATTCATTCACTGGGCAATTGATTACAACAGGCCTGTGAGACATTTCAACCAGCTGCTGTCCTGAGGAAAGACCTGACAGTCTGCTTCCTCTATTAATGTCTTTTTTTTTTTTAAATGTTGGCAAAGAGAAACTTTCCTGGCAAGCTTCCTGAAGAGGAAGAAGGAGCTGCTGTGACCTACTGCAACACAAAGTTACCATGACTGGAAGACCCAAGTTATCCCTTCCATCTGCTCAACTTTGAAAACATAAGATCCAGGACTGGGGAAATGGCTTGGCAGGTGAAGGTGCCTGCTGCCAAGCCTGAGGACTTGAGTTTCGTCCTTGGGACCCACATGGTAGAAGGAGAAAACTGATGCTTGTAAGTTGACCTTTGACCTCTACACATAAGTCACCGACTGAGAGCGTACGCGCACAAATAGATGTAATAAAAAGTGATCAATACCATTCTTCAATCTTCTTAGACTTTGAAACTGGCAGTCACTGCCACAAAACCAGTTACTACCTGTTATTTCTTACACATAGGGCTTAGAAATAAATGGATGAACTGGGTGTGGTGGAATAAGTCTGAAATCCTAGCACTTCGAAGGCTGAAACAGGAGGATTACCACAAGTTCAAGTTCAAGGCCAGCCGAGGCTACAGAATGAATTTCCAGATGGTAAAACTCTGTCTCAAAGAAAGGTTGGGATACACATGCAAGGAGTCCTGGGTTCATATCCAACATGAAATAAAGGCTACAATCCGTGTTTAAGAGTCAGGAGGACCAAGAAGTTTAAAGCCATCCTTTGAGACATAGTGAATTCAAGCCATCCCGAGCTACAGGAAATCTTGTCTCATTAGAAAGAAAGAAAGAAAAAAAAAACTGAATGAGTGAGAAACATTAAAAAAAAAATCTCAGAGCTGGGTGGTGGTGGTGCATGCCTTTAATCCCAACACTTGGGAGGCAGAGGTAGGTGGATTTCTGTGAGTTCAAGGCCAGCCTGAGCTACAGAGTGAGTTCCAGAAAAGGCACAAAGCTACATAGAGAAACCCTGTCTCAGGGGGAAAAAAATCTCAGATTAACAGTAAATTCTAGAAACTGATTTAAAACTAAGTACATGTGGAAGGAAATTGGAGGGAGCCCTAAAAGGCCAGAGGTGGAGAGCGGCTGGTGGATGACAGGACAGGGCAGCATTCCTGAACAGGACATACGGGGACTCAGCCCTGCCCACAGAGCTCTGTGGAGGAATCTCCCCAGACAGACACCAGCAATGCCACACACAGAAGAGACCCAAAGCTGTGTCTCCACCAGCTCGTGTCCTAGCGGGCCGTGCTGGCACAGCCCCGAGTATCCCCGCAGGCCCACAGTGGAGGAGGGACTCACCTGTAGGTGTACGGCCCCACTTCTTCCACTATGGGGATTTCTCCTCGGAGGATCTCCTCTGGATTGGTGACATTGAAGAAATAGAACTGGCTGTAGACAGGTAGCGGGGGCTTCTCCCAGGAGTCAAAGACCTCGGTACCGTTTCTCAACACCATATTCTGGGGAGAAAAAAAAACAAAACAAAACTGGTTCACAAAAAGGCCACTGCTTCTGAACGCGGGGCAGGAAGTGGGGCCTTCCCTACTCTGTAACTGGGGTTTGGGGGCAAAAGTCCAGGTCCCAGAAACCACAAGAAGCTCGTGGTGGCAACCTGTGCCAATCCATGAATTAAAGAGAAGAGTGACCGTAAAAAGCAGAGAGAGCGTTATCGACGTGTTGAGAAGAACACATAAAGGAATCCTATGACTCCGAGTTCATCTTTGGGGTCTTGACAGAGCTTTAGAAGTGTGGGGTTTAGCTTGGCTTTAAGGCAGGGTTTCACTCTGAAGTCTAGGCTGGCCTGAAATTCATTATGTAGCCCTGGCTGGCCCTTTGAGGCTGTCCTCTTGGCTCAGCCTCCTGGGTGACTACAGACACGCACCATCACGCCTGGTGAACCTTAAGTTTAAACTTCTCTACAAACTCCCCGAGGAAACCTGTACTGGGAGAAATCTATATTTTCCATTGAACTCCTAAGTATCACTTAAGGATGGTCAGCATAGGAAACATCTACTAATGGAAGTCATTAGGAACCAGCAACCAAAAATAAAAACTCAGCTCTTCAGTATGCAACCAACAGGGTTGGTGGCTGGCTTCTCAAAATGAAGCATCCTGTTCCCCAAAAAATCGTAGGTTTGTTTTGTGCTTTTACACTTCCTATGACCCGGAGGACAACACACTTCCTGCAGGAATGGTGGATCGATATAATACTAGAAAACTTTTAGACTAGCTTCCGCTGACTTTGCCTTAGACATGGGAAGAGAAGTTGGGGCGTGATCCTTTGTCGAGGCACAGAAAGACCTTGGGGGAAGCAGATAACAGAGACAACCCCAGGTGTGACACTGCCAGCCACTAGCCGTGACCCTCGAGAGCAGCCCGAACTGTTTTTAATCCCTACCATCTGGATTCTCCCCTCGGCTTGTTTAGTGAAAAAGTTGAATCTACTAAATGTTTGCTCAAGGTCAGAGGAACAAGTTCAAGTCAAAGGCTACAAGGTAAACTCAGTGTAAAGGTCAGGCGGGCTTTCTTTTCTGCACAGGGCCCAGTGGGGGCTGGAATGGCTGCTCCTGTGCGGGGGTCAGCTGACCTCGGCAATGCAGCACCAGACTCATCATTTTTTCAAGACTAGAGGAAGGGAGTCTGCTGAGACAGTTCAGTGACTAAGTGGGCTTGTTGTGCAAGCCTGAGGACCTGACTTCCAACCCTCAGTTCCCACAATGGGGGAAAAAAAAAAAAACAGGCGTGGGTGGTGCACATGCCTGTCACTCCAGCACTGACAATCTGATGGCGGAGGTGGGTGGCCAGCCGGCTTACATGCAATAGTGACTGTCAGGCTCAGTGAGAGACCCTGTCTTCTCTCGCGAATAAAGCAGAGAGTGAAAAGCAGGACACCTGGTAGTGTCTTCATCCTTCTACAGGTGGGCATGCACGCACACACGCGTGCACACGCATGCACACACACGCACCAGTGCACAGACAGGCACACACATCCCACACACAAAATAAAAATAAAGTAGTTAATCTTATAAAAACCAAATACAGGAAGGTATGGAGACCCACAAAGGTTTCCTAGTGAGATCCGAGCTTGCTTTACCCGGCAGAGCTGCATTAGAGGATGGCTTGACCACGTGCGGGGTCACCAGGTGTTTGGAAGGGTCTGCACTTGGCTGTGCTTGGAGGAGATCATTTGCACCACCCCTTGGCATTTCTATAAATAGCCCATTAGAAGCGACAGGAGGGGCCAGTGGACAAGGATCCAGGCCCTCCTGAGGTTATCCTGTGTTTTTGTCTGTCTCTCTCCCCTCTATATTTCTATCTAAATTTTTTATCCCTCTCTTCTCAAGAGTACCCCGGGAGGAAAAAGTGGTCTCCCACAGGAAGGGCTGCATCTGTATGTTATACAAACAAGGGCTGTGGTGGGTGAGACAGGAAGATGGCCACAAGTTTGAGGCTGTCCTGGGCTACAGAGGGTGACCCTATCTCAAAGACAAAAGCAAAACAAAACATAAACAGTACAGAAATGCACCCCTTTCAGGTGTCAGTTCAAAACAGGCAGTGTCGCACAATGGTCAAGGGGGTTAAATAAAAAGAGGAGGAGGAGCCGGAAACATGGCTCAGTGGTTAAGCTCACTTGTTGCTCCAAAAGGACCCAGGTTCAGTTCCCAGCACCCACATGAAAGCTCACAATTGTCTGTAACACCAGTTCCAGGAAATCTTCAGGCCTCCAGGAAATCACCAGGCATGCACACACGGTACACATACATATGCAGGCAAAACACTCACAAGCATGAAACCACATAAACCTTCAAAACAAAACACCCATATAAATCTGGGGCTGGGGATATAGCCCAATGGTAACCTTTCCCTCGCCTAGCACGTGGAAGGCCTTAAGTTCAATTCCCAGCAAGGGTGGCTTGGCAGGGGAAGGGGAGGTGGTGGTGGACAATACAAATCTGACTTGGGTCAGGACAGGCTACTTGAAAGCATTACTGTAAGGACGGAAGGGACGACTGCAAACAGCAAAGGCTAACCGTGATGTTTGCGGAGTCTCGAGGGTCAGGCCGAGAGTTTGCTTTCCTGGGAGGAGTGGGCAAGGCTAGAGAACGTGGTGTGGGGGAAAGTGGGGTGCTTAAGAGTGGCAGGGTCAGCCAGTGAGCAGAGGGCCTCACCAGCTACGGCCCAGCACCAAGGCATGCGGAGAACGTGAGGGAGAAAGGATCCAGGGTCTCATTTATCTTTTAAAGGAGTTCGTCTGTAAAGTACAAACCCTCGGCGACGCCACGAGTGAGAGGCGAACAGATGGGCAAGCGGCCGGGCTTATCTTGCTTGGTTCCATGCAGCTCAGGCAACCCAAGGTACAAAGGAAAGTGGAGAGTTTCCAGGAAGAAAGGGGCAGAGCTCCTTCCAGAAAGGGGTGGAAGCCAGTGCTTGGGCATCTATAAACACGTCTCTCTGACGTATAGATAAAAATAAACCTTTAGAAGCCTTGTCTCCTTACACACTGACCACTCACAGTTAACTACTGAAACAGTCCTTGGCAGCTTGCCTGGGTCACAGTTGGCAGCAGACTCTGGTTCTCCCCATGGTCAGCCTGACCCCAGAGCACTTCTCTGTCCTGGCTAGAACAGAGAAGAACCGAAGCCATCCAAACACACTGTCCTGTCTCCGTCCACTGCATTCAGATCTTCCCCCTTTCCTGCACTGTTGACGTGTGTTTTCCTCGAGGAGCCCTCTGTAAATCCCAGAAGAGACACTGGGCGTGTGTGTGTGTGTGTGTGTGTGTGTGTGTGTGTGTGCGCGCCTGTCTGTCTATGTATGTATGTATCTGTGTGTATGCGTGTGTGTCTGCCTGTCTGTCTATGTATGTATGTATCTGTGTGTGTGAGTATGTATGTGTGTATGTATGTATGCATCTGTGTGAGTATGTACGTGTGTGAAAGAAAGCGAGAGAGACAGAGAGAGAGACACCAAGGGGGGATGAGAGAGCAGAGGGAAGTGGTAAATGCAGCTGCCAACACTTCTAAAAGAGTTTCATCTTTATTTTTATCCTTTCCTGAGGCCAGCTCACAGGACAGTCACCGTCGCCACCACTGCCAGCTGCCTACTACTGTGTCCCTGCCAGAGTCGGGGACCGTGTGAGGGGACGCATTGCTTCTGAGACTTCATGTAAGTCAGTCCTGCAAGATAAGAACTTCCAGCTTTCCAGTTTGTACCAGAGTCAAGCACCAAAAAGAGAAACGAAAAGAAACTACAGTTTGTAGACAAGGAGACAGTAGCAGCACAGATGTCCCCAAGTTACAAAGCCAGCACATTAAATCAAGCCTGGACAAGCCCTGGGCTGCAATGTGGCAAAGACTGCGTTTGCCTACCTCACAATCTGGTGGAATGACCAGATTGAGCGAATGCAGTTGAATTTCATGGAGACAATTTTTTAAGTATAATTATGTCCCAGATATTACATGAGCTGCATAGAAAATAATTTAATCTTTTAAATATTTTTTATTTTTAAAAACTGTATTTGTATTGGTGTTTTGCCTACATGTATGCCTGTTATACTACATGCATGCCTGGTACTCAAGAAGGGACACTGGATTCAGCGGGACTGGAGTTACAGATGGCTGTGAGCCACCATGTGGATGCTAGGAATCAAACCTAGGACCTCTGGAAGAGCAGCCAGTGCTCTTAACCACTGAGCCATCTCTCCAGCCTGGAAAATAATTTATTTTTTCCGGCATATTGAAGGATCTAGGGACAAAGTGTTGTGATACCTGCAACTTGTACTGAAATATTTACAATAATAATAATAACAATAATAATAATGTGTGTTTGAGAGATATGGCCAGGCAGCAATAACTGATACCTGGAAGTGAATGGTAACATCTCACACATATATACTGAAATAATTATTTTGCTGTTTATCTGGATTGTAAACTAGACTAGGCCTCTTGTTTTGTATCTAGCAACCCTACCCTAGAGGGAACCATAAAAAACAACAGAGAAAGCATAACACACTGGACTCCGGGTTTCCCTGGCAGTCAGGCTGAGTTATGAGGAAAGGGAAGTATGGCAGCCGTGGGAGGTCATGCCTAGCTGAGCTCCATCCACAGGCGTGTCGGGACCTAAGAGAAGAAGAACTGAAGCTCAGAGCCTCCATGCTGCTCAGCCCCACTATGCTAACGTATCCAGAGAAAGCAAGGCAACCCTGTACCACAGGATGGGCCAGTTGTGTGTCCCCACTGACCGAACCTTCTAGTTCTGTACCAGACACACAAGGCATTGGCGGCGCAAGGCCAAGAGCTTGCTCTGCAAAAGCCGTGTTGACAAACGAACAAACAACAACCCTAAGACCAGAGAAAGCCTAACACAGGAAGTCACTCATTCTGCCAGACACAAGGAACCAGTATCACGGCTGCCCTGGGCCATTCTAAACATAAAGCCATACATGGGGACAACTACTGCC